CTTTACCAACTATATTCTACAGTGGTACCTCGGGTTAAGAACTTAATTCATTCTGGAGGTCCATTCTTAACATGAAACTGTTCTTAACCTGAAGCACCACTTTAGCTAATGGGGCCTCCCACTGCCACCGCACCGCCAGCACGCGATTTCTGTTCTCATCCTGAAGCAAAGTTCTTAACCCGAGGTACTATTTCTGGGTTAGAAGATTCTGTAACCTGAAGTGTCTGTAACCCGAGGTACCACTGTATTTATTATTGCAAGTGTTAGATGCCACCTCAATGATTTCTATTGTGCCTTGTATATGATAAACATTATTAAGATATTTGTGCATGTTGCTTATATTATAAAGTAGTATTTCTAGTTCAACATTCACTTACAAAGAAAAGTAACAAAACACATATCTTGCCTAGTAGATATTACATGAAAGGGGGGAATCTAGCAAGGAATTCCCGTGCTTCTCTGTCTCTTGCTTTAATTCTGAATTGGCCTGCTATTATTTTCCCCCCTCTGGTTTTCTTAGAGAAACATATTCCAATTGTTTGCTCTGTTTAACATCTGTCTCCTCTTTACTTTGATGGAGTTCACACAAAATTGACTGTCAAAATCTAGTATGAATCTACAGGATTTGTTCAGAAGTTCATTACCTCCAGCCTTGCATGTCAGATATTATTTGAAGCCTTGTTAAAATTTCTTAACACAGTAATGGCAGTAATCCTGCAGCTTATAGCTGATGTTATGGGTCAATGTTCTAACATCTACCAGGACACGTCAATCAAAGTGCTTTTCATCTTCCTTCCTTCCTTTTTTTCAAGTTGACTGGGAATAGATGTACAGTCCTGGCCTTAGCCTCCTTTCTAATCAGCTTCTACTTCCAAATACCATTTCCCCAAGGATATTTAATAGGGAGAGAGAGTTTGGAGCTGTCAGTCTAGGTCTTTAAACCCAAAGGCAGAAATGGACCCTAAGGCAATATTTAAATAGAAGATATACCATCTCTGATGTGAAGCATGGAATGTAAGGAAAAACTTGGCACGTGCGAATGCCAAAAATTAGTTTTGCTTTGTAGGATTTTGTAGGTTTGATAACTACTGTATCTTTTATCAACTGCATTTATGTTTTAGAACACTGATGCCCATTTTCATAATGTCAGGTGATCTGACAGATATTCTAAAGAATTTACCAAATGTGGGAATTAGAAGCACTGAAAGAGCATATCTGAGAGCCAAAGAATGTGTTGCGTAGATGGACCCATCCTAAATTTCTAAACCATCAAAGACGTTACTTTCTATTCCAGCACTAACAATGAGCCAAACAAATCTTCATGAGATATGGGCTGATACTCTTTTGGGCGTTTCAAAAATTATACAACTATTTCACTTAAGGTTTTTCTTATCCCCTTGAAATTTGACTGTACTATGAGGCAAAGTAACTGAAAAAAATTGACTACCCTCTTAATCAATATAATATTAATGGAAGAAACCCACCTCCACAACAAAATAATTTTCCTACAGCAATGCCACAATGTTCAGGCCTGCAGATGGTCGACAACCTGGGGAAGCTGCAATGATCTTTACCAAGAAGATGTAACAGGAGATTGATTCTTGACTGGTTCAGATAACTTTCTAGTTGTGTTTTAATGTGATTGTGGATCATTGGCTCACGACCTTCAGGGACGTATTCTAAGCTATCATTGGATATTCCAGAATGTTTTAGGACCCTTTTTCCTACACCCTGCCAAAGCTTTGCAAAGGAGAACAAGGCACCACATTTCCTCCACTGGAAGATACTAGACCAATGCCTAGAGAACTATGTACATTAATTTTCTGGTCTGCCGGTTTCCAGTCTCTGTCTTTCTTTTACTAACAGTGTTATATGTGAGGAGGAAAGCTGTGGCAAGGAAACTTTGGCTATACCTGGCGTCTTCTGATGTCAACATTAGAGTGCAAGGCAGCTAAATTGATGCCATTAGTTGGTAAGCTCCTCTTACTGACTGATGTACAAGGATTTGTCACTGCTGGACAACTTTTGATCAACTGAAGACCTTAGCTGACTCACCTGTAGATCTAGGTTGGGGTTGGTGGGACTGCACTTGTGTAGTTCCATTCTTCCCCCTCAGAGAGATCTCAGAGGATGATACTGGGCAATTGCTCACCTGCCCCGTGGTCTCTCTTTCATGCGGGATTCCACAAGGTTTCATTCTGTCATCTCTCCTTTCAACATGTATGTGAGGCCACTGGAGGAAGATAATGAAACAGTTTGGGCTGTGGTGCATCAGTGGGTAGAAGACACACAGCCCATCTTTCTCTCTCTCTCTCTTGACAAAGCAGAGTGATGAGGACACTAATGCTTCCAGGGCCATACATGCAGGTCTATCCAGAAAAGATGGAGATTAGACTGAACAAGTAAAAGACGATGTGGTGGTTATGGCAGTTTTCTTAGGTTCTGGATTAAACTTTTTTTTTCCTCTCTGAAGTTCTTCCATATTCTCAAGTGTGCTCCTGGCTGCATTAATGATGGGTAGTGTATTTTCTCACAGGAAAGTGCCAAAGTCTTTCACATTCCACAAGGGCAACCATAAAGCCATTATGAAAATATAGCTAGATCCATGTGGTGGCAGAGTAATAAATAACGGGACAGTGTAAAAAACAATTCTCTGTCTGCTTCAAGGTGCACATCTAAGAAAAGATTCCAGTTCACTCAACGGGCCACGTTTTATCCCCATTTAAAGCAAGACTGAGAGAATATGAGATACGCCTGTAAAAGTTAAAGTCTTTTGTATCTTTAGATGTGTTGTGTGGCAATTTATGGTGCTACTATTAAGCTTAATATTTTCTAATTTACGGGAGTGATGTTGAGAAAATCATAGACATTTATGGACTGCGTTGGACAGAGGCATTCTCTTTTGAAATGTAATGCTACAACATGCTGAGAAACATAAAAAAAAAATATGTAAAAACCTTTCTTGGGAAATCCTACTTCACTTAAGAAGCTCTTCAGCAATATTTAGCTCTGCCTAAGCAATGCCCAGTAGAGGGGCAATTCTGAACATACGTAATTTTTTTAATGCTTGGCTCTTTCTGTGCCGCTAATGTAAACAGAGAAGCATATCTTGCGCTAGGGTTAAAAGCTACTATGCTGCCTGCAAAATATTGGTATTTCACAGCATATATCAGCAGTCTATTTATGAATGATAAATTGCAATGCTATATAAATAGGGGTCAATATTTCTTAAATCTGTGATGGACTTTTCTCATGTATGTTATAGATTAGGCTGATAATATAAAACAAGGAAGCTTCATAGAATCTGTCCTCGTTTTGTGTTGAGAACTAACTCTTTATCAATCAAGCCTTTATAAAGAGTCACTCGGCACACCACTGGAAAAACCACGCTAAGGAACCAGGCAGAAGGACCACCCATATATGTACTACTGTATGTGCAAGAGTGACAGTAACTTATGTTTTTAACTTCGTTTGTGGTACACCTGCTAAACAGATTGCTGTAAGACAATGTAGCACCCAATTCTGTTCTCAGAACAACAGTAAGCAACTTCTTTCTTTGCAGCTGCAGATAATGTAGTCACATCTGAGACAGGAAGCAGTACATTAAGCTGAAGTGAGTCCCCAGGAGGTTTAAAAGAATACAATTTGGTTTATTTATCAGACACTACGGAGCAAGCAGTTAGTTCAGTACTGATAGTTACAATGGGAACAATAACAATACTTGGCATTTGTATAGCTCAAAACCCTTCATGTACTATATCTCAGAAGATTTTAACAGTACCATCATGTTACAGATGGGAGAAACAGTAGCTAGCCTAAGGTTATTCATTGAGTTCATGCCTGAGAATCTAAGATTTAGAGGACTTCATGCTCTTGACTAGGAACAATGCTCTTGCTCATACATATATTGAGTGGATTTTCTGAACTGCAGTATGAAATAATTATTCTTATTCAGAAATAACTTTCCTGAAATATAAAATGAATGAGAAGCAGACTTTGCTGCATTTTTTCCCTAGTTCCATTCTTCAATATCCTTTTACTAATAAGGACAAGAAACCAAAAGCTGGAACTCCCAGAATTCCAGCATGACAATGAGTACATCATGCTCCCAGAGTTTGGTCACAACATGGATTTGTATAATTGCATTATGATCTCAGTGGTTTATTTTCAATTCCTTTTCTAATGATCCCTAACATGGAATTTGCCTTTATTTCACAGCTGCCACAAACTGTGTCAACATCATCTTCATCAATCTATCTACAACAACCTTAAGGTCTCATTCCTGGTCAGCTATCCCCAGTTCAGACTCCACAAGCGTAAGTGAAATTAGGATTTTTCACTCCATGTGCATCACTTTACAGTTGTTTGCACTGCATTTGCCATTTTACTGCCCATTCACCCAGTTTGGAGAGATCATTTTGAATAATTTGGTATTATCAGCAAACTTGATTATCCCACTGCTTACTCAATTCTAGATAAATTATGAAGAAGTTTAAAAGCACAGGTCCCAATACTAATTCTCAGGGGAACCCACTTTTTACATCTCTGCATTGGGAGAATGAACTGTTCTTTCCTTTCCTTTTCTTAACCTGTTAATGATCCATCAGAGGATCTCTCCTCTCACTCCATGACTGCTAAGCTTTCTCAAGAGTCTTTGATGAGGAACATTGTTGAAGGTTTTTGGAAGTCCAAGTACAATGTCACCAGGCTCACCTCTATCTAGATGCTTGTTGATACTCTCAAAGATCTCTGAAAGGTTAATGAAACATGACTTACCATTGAAGAAGCCATTCTGGTTCTGCTTCAGCAAGACCTTTTATATGCTTCCTAATTCTATCTTCGAAAATGCTTTTTGTCAATTTTCCAGGAACAAATCTAAGCTAACTGGCCTCTAATTTGCTAGATTCCATCTGTATCCCTCTTTTTAAATTGCTTTCTGTTAGTCACCTTCTAATCTTTTGGTATGGAAGCTGATCTTAGAGCCATATTTACATTTTTTTGTAGCATTAACATACTGCATCACCCTTTTGTCTGACAGGGACTCAAGGCAATTTACCATTTGAGTTCTTAAAGTGCTCTCAGGTGGATACCAACTTGGACTTGGTGATTTCTGAAGTTTTAATTTGTCAGCAAGGCCTAGAACTTTGCCTTTAGTACCGTCTGTTTGCTCAGCTTCCCAGACCCCCCCTTCCTGTGTAAGTTAATTTGGGCCTTGGGATCTGTTCTCTATATTTTGCTGTATGTTATTAACATGCTACTCAATGGGCACAGAAAGCAGGTCATCTCTTCTTTCCCCAGGACAGTTAAAGCTAGGTGTCCAAATGTGAACTTCTGCCTGGGTAAATCTATATTACATGAATAAAAGGGTATTATAGCCTAGTCTCGTACTAACCCTCACTTGCCCACACGTAGCAAGAAAGAATTACTCTGAGGCAACCAAGCTGAGAAGCATTTGTAATTGGGAATGAGAATTTTTAAAATCTCCTTTAGGCTGCCCAGTGTGCCACTGTCTAACATAGATATGGCAACAAACAGGAATGAGGGGGGAAATTCAGTTCAGTTTGCATTTTAGTGTATTCTTAATTTGCAATTCCCCCAAAAGTATGCAAACAGAGACTCACCTATCCTTTGAAATTTGCGCTTCTTCAAATTTTTTGATGCAGTTCATCAACCAAAAAGTAAATGTGTATTTTAGGGGAAAGTGTGTGTAAAAATGCATATATTATTGAAAACAAGTTGCAAAAATGCATTCTATGTGTTTTTCCAACATTTACTAGGGGATATGGCTTGCCCAAATGTGTGTTTTAGCCAAAACTGCATACAAATATATGTATATTCTGAGAAATAGGTACTGAAATGCTGTTTAATTTTTGTTGGTAAAATAAGAAGCTGAGAAAAACCAGAACTGACATACCTGTCTATCCTTATATGTGACTTAGCAGGCTAGATAATAAAAAAAATAAATCTGTGGGTTAGTAGGTTTTGTGGTCTTTTTTAAGGCTGAGAAAGCATGATTTCAATATTTGAAAAGCAGATTGCAGGGTGGGGTTGAACTGCTACACTAGTTAGGAAACTAGGCTGCTACTGCTTACTGGGAGGAAGAGGATAACAGGGAGATCAGGGCAGTGCAAATACACTGATAGGAATGCTGGATTGGCTCCACGGGTGCTGAGCTCCTCCCTGTTGCTTTGCTCCTCCTCCTCTCATTCCTGGTAAGCAACAGTGATCCACCTGACTGGATGCTAGCACCTGACAAACCAAACCACTGCTGATATTAAGCCTGATATCTTACCTATTATTATGCTTTTATTGTGTCCTCCTTCAAGGAGCTCAAAGCATTGGGCATGTTTCCCTTGCAAAGTAGCCTTGACTATTAGAGGATGTCTAACCCAAGGTAAGGGATGTGGGTGGTGCTGTGGTCTAAACCACAGAGCCTAAGACTTGCCGATCAGAAGGTTGGCGGTTCGAATCCCCGCGACAGGCTGACCTCCCGTTGTTCGGTCCCTGTTCCTGCCAACCTAGCAGTTGAAAGCACGTCAAAGTGCAAATAGATAAATAGGTACTGCTCCGGCGAGAAGGTAAACGGTGTTTCTGTGCGCTGCTCTGGTTCGCGAGAAGCGGCTTAGTCATGCTGGCCACATGACCTGGAAGCTGTACACCGGCTCCCTCGGCCAATAAAGTGAGATGAGCATTGCAACTCCAGAGTCGGCCACGACTGGACTTAACAGTCAGGGGTCCCTTTACCTTTAACCCAAGGTAACCCTTTCATTTCATGGCTGTGTAGAAATTTGAGCACCGCTCTCCTTGTCAAACACACAGCACCACACTGGCTCGCTGTGTTAAAAGTATGGCATCCACTTCTTTGTCATGCAGTTGTATGTGCGCTATGTAGGCGTTAATCCACACCACATCAAATCAGTTATATTAACAATAAACAGATTGGAAATTGTTTAACGTGGGTTTGGTTTCTCAAATTGCTTAGTCAATGGCCTCTAAGTGCCAACATAATGTTACAACCAAGGAACGAGTTGTTTGCTAACAGAAGCAATTATAAAATGCAAATGGCTCTGCACTTATTGCCAAGGTTGTCTTAGAAAACAAATGTCTGCTTAATAACGTGTCTCCAAGAAGATTACATAATTATGTGTTTGCATTATAAATGATAAGGCAAGAAGAAAATGTTGGGCTTTTTTCCTCTATATACTGTATTTGCACTTGTTTGTCATCATGCTGACAAATGCATGTGTGGTAGGAGCAAGTGAGCAGGCAGACAGGTGGCCCAAGCAGGCCTTCCTTCTCTCCCCCTGTCACTGCCACCAAACTACCACCACCAAAAGGAAGCCTGCAGATGCAGACTTCTTCCTGGTGGTGGTGTGGCAGGTGTAATGATACAGGAAGCATCTGGAGGAACACAGCAATAGAAGGGAGGTTGTGGGGGAGCTGCGAGGGTCTGGGCGACTGTGCATAGGGGAAGGATGTTGGGTGAGATCTAAAGGGAGGTGAGTAGCAATGGGGTGGGATTGGGGGTAGGCAGACTGGCAAGGAATGCAAAGAGGAGGAGTAGCCTCTTGTTGTTTTTAAAGGGGGGAATGAACTAGGACATAGGCTTGGATTTGAAGTTGCTTCCAGTTGTGCAATGAGGGTTGCTGGTCTGCTCCTCCAGTCAGAGGTGCACAATACAGCACAAAGGAAGCCACCCACCTTGACTTCCAGTACAGATAAGAAATCAAACACCCAATTAAGAAATTCCCATTTGACATTTCATGGTTATTCATTCTCCTCTTTTCTTGCATGTTCTGCTTCAACTCAAACCATTCATTTGCCAGGTTGATTTTCATTCTGTCAACCCATAGCTTTTGTGCACAGCAAAAAAGTGACCACTTTATTCTTACCTAAACAACTATAATGTTGCAGAGTAAACAACATTTAGCACTTAAGCAGCTTTTGTTTCATGGTTTATAACAAATACATTCAAGTTTTCCTCGACTGTAGACACAGTCCATTGGTAAGGGTGCCAGCTTGGCCCCACAACAATGGGTGCCATGTAGCTTGCATGGCCCTGACCCCGTAATTTGTGGGTGTACGGCCTCTTCATGCAGAATTCTGTGGGTGCTTGGGCACCCAGGGCCACAGGGAGTTGGCACCTATTTCCTATGTTTGTTTTAAATCACAGTAAAATCTTCTGCTATTACTGTTCTGATGCCATTAAATGCTAGAATCCTGAACTAGAGATCTGCTAGGAAAGCAGTTTTTGTAGGGATCCCTTTCCAACAGAGTAGACTGCAGCTACATTCCAGGGATATTGGTATCATAACCAGACCAAAACTTTAGAAAGGATATTCTGCTCATTTGCTTATACCTTCTTCGATCAGGGAATTATGAGGGAAAGGTAAGGGGGTTTAATTAAATCCTAAAGGTCCCACCCATTAACTCCCCCAACTTAATTTGAAAGACCCTACAGATTTCTAAAAATAGTAACTACAGGGCAGCACAAAAGACAAGGACATAATTCCAAGATACAGTCTGAAGGCACACAAAGTTAGCATGTTGCTGGAGTTAAGTAGGTCTGGTCAGTGCATAGATATGTGACTGCCTGGGCTCCACGTGTTTGTCCCCTTGGCTATCATGATAGAAAAGATAAATGTTCAAAAATAATACTAAATAAGAAACTTCAGCCCCCTCTAGCCCCCCTATAATTCAAGCACTGATCAAGGAAAGCAAGCTTGTTTTGAGTACAACTTATATCAGGATTCAGTCTTTATCTGCAAAACGTTTGATACCTTCAGATCTGAGTGTTTACACTGATCTCCCAGTGAAATAAGACCCTGCTGAAACTTTTCAAACAAACAACCTAGAAACTATGTCACAGGTTGGCAGGTTCGCTCTGATCAAGTTAGGCTTGTTTTTTCTTTTTTTAAAAAAGCATTAAAATAGACATTCCTTGCTGTCTAAAGAAAGCTGTTGTCAAAATGAACATCTAAAGTGTTCACACTGATGTTTGACTGCGCTTCTCACCCCAAATATTTCCCCCCATGATTTTCCTTCACTCAATAAAACCTGATGCAATAAATAAAAATATAAAGATTCAGCTGTCACTTATTCAGTCTTTTATCATGTATATGTGGGCATGTTTTGTTTACTTCCTTAGCCAGACTATTTGCCTACAACTTCTCATTAATGATGTTTTGTAATTTTGTAATGGTATAGCAGAGCACAAAAAGTATCCTATAGATTGCTGGTCTGGTCCTCTGTGCCAGCACATAAGACACTCCAGAACAGAATAAAGTGACAGAGGACCATAGATTGATAGATATTTTAGAGCACACAAACAGTACAAGCACCAAATTGGGGAAAAGTAAATTCATGTCATATCCTTCATAAGATTACTGACTTGTTTGAAATATGCAGCTGCATATCATGTCATATTTGGCAAACATATTGGCATTGCTGCCATACAACAATCATGATTTAAAGGAAAGGAGGTATTCCACAAGCTAATCACAATAATCTCATCCATGGCAACACTTGCACATTTTACACCTGTAGTGGCCAATACTAGTGCAAATCAGAAACCTATGGTAGCCTGTGGTAGCATGAATTGAATGTAGCACCAACCGGCCTTTGTGAAAATGCAAAATAGCTTTCCTATTGTTGGTTCCTTTGGCCATCAGTAAGTGCAAGGACCCTTTCTTTCCATGTTCCTCAGCTCCCCCTCTGTTGGTAGTAAAAAATATTAGGATGCACTGGAGCTTGGAGGACTGCAAACACTGGTGACATGTTTGCATGTTTCCTAGGCTTAATTCATGCACCCACTTGCAAAATGGCAAGTTGTTATATTTCTGATTAAATCAAACCCAGTCAACCTGCATCTTCAAGGGAAAAGTTTATAGATGCATAAAACCTGACTTGTAGTGATGACTGTTTCACTCACATGATAAGCCCACTGAGAACTAATGTTACATTGTTAGGCAAAAATCTTGAGAATCAAGAAAGGGTCAGTGAAGTGGTAGATGCAAAGTATTAACATCTACAACGCCATTCATAATTCCTGTCTTTGAAACTGACTCCACATGGTGACCAAGACAGGGAAATATTTGTGTGTACTGGCTTGTCAAATGGATATGCTTTCAGTATATTGTTTGATAAATATAATGGGGTGTCCATAGCACTGCCTAGTCCTGTCGTATTGGATGAGTTTCAGTTACTAAGGATGCGGACAAGATGTTTGGATCAGTCAAGGTGGACCCTTACCCCTCTTGTTTTCCTCACTTACTGGGGCCTGGGAAGGTCATGGACCTCCCAGTGGAACCTCGTGGAAACATGATGCAGTTTCTGGATAGTCTTCAAGCCCTAAGTAGAGAACACTACAGTATCAAGTAATAATTATGCCCTGGAAGCTGATCTGTATGACGAGCCAACACACATAATATTTAAGCCACCACAAGGAGCCAGCTTTGATCTATCATCATTGGCTGCCACTGTGTGAGAAGCAGTCTGTGGCTAAAAGTACTCAGACATGATCAAAGCACACTCTCCATTGATGAAATGACAAGGCTGAAATGGATATGCCACGTGTCACTCATGGAATTTGAATAAAGTGGGAAGCCAATAGTCCAGGTAGAATTCCCCATTCTCTCAACCACATGCTCACGCCACTAATCTCCATACAGAATAATTCAAACATCCACATCTGGGTGTCACAAAAACAGAGGGAAGAATTCACCAAGGTGCCTAATATCAGACGTGCTCAAACAATTCAAGGGAAATTTTAGTACAATGTCTGAACTGATTTGTAAGATTACACCACTGCAAGAGGCTGAAATTTTCCAACTTTGTATACTTTTCTGGATGCATCCAGAAGTCATCCTGTTCACAAAATGTTTCAGTGTCAAGTAAGATGCATCTAAGCCATTTAAAATGCAATTTCATTAGGAGTACAAAACTCACAATAAAAATGATCCAACTTTATATATAAATTAAAGTTTGTTTTTCTTAAAAAAAAGAATACAGACCAACTGATACAAAACATGCTGCCACTCATATCTGACACATTCATTTTTCTTTAAAAAATGGATAAAGCCATTGTGATGTACATCAATTATTTAAAATGAGCAGTCATTTTCTAAAATAAGAAATTGGTCTCGGTGATTAAAAGGAAAGCTGCAAAATTAGCTTGACAGAATTAATCATCCTACATGATTAGAGAGGAGCTGAATTTTTACTTAATAAATTCTTACTAAAGCACAGTTTAATGAAACACATACATGTTCAAATAATCCATAAGGAACTTGTGACCTCACCAAATCTTAAGGTTTAACATCAAAAATTCCTCTAACAATACATTATATTTTTAAAAATAAGATATGTATTAATGCTGAAAGTAAATTGGGCTGGATCCTATGCACATTTACTTGTGCCAGTGAAATAAGCAGGGTTACGTCACAAATAAATGTGGTCAGGATAGAGGTTATTCTATGGGTGCTTCCAGATTCGGACCTTACATCATGAACAGGTTGCTCAGATTCATTTGTGTCTGTCTGGCATGGAATCATATAGAGTTGGAAGGGACCCTACCATGCAGGAATATGCAGCTGTCCCATACAGGGCTCAAACCTGCAACCCTTATGTTATCAGCACCATGCTGTAACCAAGTAAGCTTCCACACATTCTCATTTTTACAGTCATAGATATGTATTGTTAGCCTGCTACTTGCCATCCAGACCAGTGAGTGGAGTTTAATAGAATGTATCTGGAGGTATCCCCTCTCGCCTAAGTACCTCCTCTCCCTTGCCTTGTTATTCCTGTTCCGGGCATTCACAGATGTATTTGTATTGTGTGCATGCACCTTAACAAAAAAATCCAGGAAGTGTGCAAGAATAAATGTTACCAGCCTTATTTATCATGCTTCACAATGAGGAAGATGAGGAGGTTTTTTGGGGGGAGGGATTAATAATAATAATAATACTGTTTACCTGACCAAGTCTTACACAAAAGTGTTAAGAGGTTTTGAAAATGTCCTCTGCATTATATAATTATTGCTAATTATTATTAATTAGTATTAATAATTTATTATTCTCATTCCATTGTATTATTATCATCACCCCAATGTATGCTGCATGATGACAGTCTCTGAGGTAATTCATCCGCATGTACTGTGTGAAGACCTTGACTTAACAACCCTTCCTAGTGGAGCAAGGGACACTTGATTCATTTGGATTGTTGGAAACAACATGGGTATATTGTGCATTAAATACCACCCACTGAAACAACCCCACCCATGTGATAGATAACCTCCTCCCCTCAAAAAATAATACTACAGTGGTACCTTGGTTCTCGAACTTAATTCGTTCCGGAAGTCCGTTTGATTTCCGAAATGTTTGAAAACTAAGGCACGGCTTCTGATTGGTGCAGGTGCCCCGGAAACAATAGACGACAGCCACTTCAGATGTTCGGCTTCCAAAAAAAGTTTGAAAACCGGAACACTTACTTTCAGGTTTTCAGTGTTTGGAATCCTAGGCGTTTGGGAACCAAGGCGTTTGAGAACCAAATTGTAATCAGCTCCCAAAACAGCCTTGACTTCTTGGTAGTGGGGCCATCTTCCTTCAGATGTCAAAGAGAAATATCTACATAGCTTTTAGAAGACATCTGAAGGCAGCCCTGTACTGGGAAGTTTGTAAGGCAGCCAGATGGGCGGGGTATTATTATTATTATTATTTGCTTATATCAAATTATTTTTACTTATTAGATTTTCTGTGGGAAGAAGACATCTGAATCAAATGTAAGGCAAAAAAACCATAGGGTGGGTTGGCATTCTGATGTCATGGTCTGGATTCTACAAAAAAAAACTTGCATGCATGAGCAACACTGATTTCACAATAAACTGCCATCTGGAAGCACCCTATATCAGTGCAAATTCAGAAGTCCCCAAACTATTAAAAATAGTTATGTATATTATCCATAGCATCTGAAAAAGGGGCAAAAATCTAAACACGTACAGTTCTTGGATTTACTACCAATTTGAATAAAAGTAACAGTTTTAAAAATGGGAATGTAAGGAAGTCACAAGCTCCTCAATTATGCATGACATATTTTCTCCAAGTTGTAAAAAAGTATATTCAAAGTAAGGCATAAAAACAGATGACATAATTTAGCTCAGAGTTATATATTACATATATGCACATAAATATTATTAAAACATAAATTATATGGATGCTTATGTTTCAAAAAGTGGTCATCCATCCACTTGTCGATCCAGTATAGAGTAAGTTCAACATTCTGAGTTTTAAAACTGGAATGTGTCCGAGTTACAAGGTATAAAATCATAATCAGTAGTAAATCCTTCATATATTGATCTAAATGCTTTTCCAGATGCTACCACCATAAGTTTGAAGAGTAAACATCTTCCAGAAAGGACATATAGAAAGAAATTTTCTAGACTTCTGACTTTGGACTGAAAGCAGGTTGTGCCACTTAAAACCCAGATCTATCTGTAGAAGGTTAATTGTTTCCCATTACAGATTTCGCTTTCTTCTTCATCCATAAAATTAACTGCAGTGAACTTCCAGGAGCAAAAAGGTGTCTTTTTTCAAGCTTGAATAAGAGGAGAAATAGTCACTTGTCCTGAAAGCTGGCTACAATTAAAAATATTGAAGACAAATTAAAAGTTGTATAAAGATGACAGCTCCAGTGCTCATTCACTACGAACTTCAATGACGTGAGCTAGACTATTAAAGACATCAGAATGGCTTTTCAGTTGGTTGCCCAGAGGGCTACGAGTATATCATCATGGTAGAATTAATGGCGAAAAGGACAATATTTACCTTTTCCAACTGGGCATTTTTTTTGGATTTGTACAAAAACTCCCCCACTGCCACAAAGACGGAGAGAACCAATCCTGCTGCCAATACGATGAAGATGCCACCAATGTTTTGTACTCCAAGGGCACTTGCATCCTTGCTCTCCTCTTCCGGGCAACCGTTGCCTCGCCACCACTTCTCCTTCATCATGTGGAGCTTGCCTTCTTCTTGCAGGTGGAGAATTGCAATGGTTATTTTGTCTCTGTAGGGGGACCCTGCAAGAGGGAACACACCGGTTAATGAGTCACACTCGCAAAGGCTTCATCCTGTTTCATAGTTATAAGAGGGACCCTCTGAAAAAATGTTTCAACAACAACAATAACAATAATACATTATTTATACCCTGCCCATCTGGCTGGGTTTCCCCAGCCACTCTGGTCGGCTTCCAACAAAACATTAAAATACAGTGGTACCTCGCAAGACGAATGCCTCGCAAGACAGAAAACTCGCAAAACGAAAGGGTTTTTGGTTTTTTGAGTTGCTTCGCAAGACGATTTTCCCTATGGGCTTGCTTCGCAAGACGGAAACGTCTTGCAAGTTTGTTTCCTTTTTCTTAAAACCGTTAATACAGTTGCGACTTGACTTCGAGGAGCAACTCATAGCACGCAGTGTGGTAGCCTTTTTTGAGGTTTTTGAACACTTTGGTGATTTTTTAAGCTTTTCCAAAGCTTTTCCGACACTGTGCTTCGCAAGACGAAAAAACCGCAAGACGAAAAAACTCGCGGAACGAGTCTTGCGAGGCACCACTGTACAATAATTCATCAGATATTAAAAGCTTCCCTAAACAGGGCTGCCTTCAGATGTCTTCTAAAAGTCAGATAGTTGTTAATTTCTTTGACATCTGATGGCAGGATGTTCCACAGGGCAGGCACCACTCTATTTCACCCCCATCCCCTAAAAAACCCTCCACAGTCAGCACTCAGTCACCACTGAGTATGGTCGGTCCTTGTTCTGTTGTGAGGGTTTAAGGGGCAAGTGGGATAGGATGGACACAATAATGCCCAATACCAGCTGCATTAAAATCTTGAATTTCAGCACTGGTTTCTATAAGAAACTCTCACTTGCGTACTGAGGCCCCGTGACCACCCTGCTCCCTAAAGTGCAAATAACTAGACAACACATGGCGTATTGGTTTTGGGATCAAAGGCAGGGGGAGAGAATGGCTAATGGCCATGCAGGCCGGGCATTTAAACTTCCCCTGGGCATGGCACCAAGGGATGCAATTGGTCAGCTGGTCCTGCACCCAGGGGAATGCCCACTAACACCTGCTGCCATTGGCCCAGTTGTGGCAGGAAGACGATCTGGCCTACAAAAGACTGGTTTACCAGGG